CTGTCTCACCGCAGGCTGGAAGCATGCATCCCTTCGAGGGTGTCGTCTGCAACTTCACATCTGTACTTCTGTGGTCACAACGTTCTCCGGGGTCAGGAGAGAAACTCCCATGACAAAGTCTGGGGCACGTATTTTACTTACTATCTAAAAAGAAGGAACACACCTAGGCTTTCTCGCTTGCAGGGAGACCTGAGGCCAGAACTTGCAGTGATTCAAGCAGCAGGTGTCGGAAGCAATGCTTCTTCTCTGCTCTGCGCTCACGCAGTAAGACCGCGTCAAAAGCGCCACTGAAGACGGACACACACGTGGTGGCATCCCTCCAGGTCATCTGGAGATGAAGCACTCACACGCCCCGCATCAAGCATCCAGGCGGACAGGGCGGACCCCCCGGGGGGAGATTCTCTGCAAGGCTCTGGGAGCCCACGGCAGATCCACACGCAACACCGTGGCTTCCTGCAGCTACTTCTGCAACCGCCTGCGCTGTTCCCGCTTCTCACGCATTTACTCCTCCTTCAAGCATATCCCGGAAGCCACATTCCGTCTTGAGAGATAGCGTGTGAGTCCAGGATCTTAGCTGCAGACGACGGAATCCGCTCTCGCTCACTGTATCAGGGAGGGGTTTGCCGAGGCGGCGGCACTGTTCCCGGGTTGATGAAACAGACCCCGGCTGACCCCCGAGGTCCGTGCGTGGAGCCACTCAGCCTTCCCCGCACGCACCTGCTGCGCCTGCCCCGACTGGGCAGCTGGGAGATCAGGCACATTGGGTTAGACCCTCGCGGCCACTCCCCACGCAGCCACATCCAATCGGCAGAGACCGGATCACGAGCCTCGGGCCTCAAGGACACTCCGTTCTTTCCCAGGGGAGGCCGAGCAAAGTAGATTTTTGGGATTTATTTAGAGAACACGCGATTTCCCCAGCAGGGGGCTGTGAGGGCGAGAGAGGGCGTCTTCTGGGCAGATGCACGCGGTGGTGCCCCATGACCCGTACCAGCTCAGCGCGCCCTGGCATCTTCTAATGTTTAAGTACAAAAAGGCATATTCTGCCTAGTTTATTGATTCTCTGTATTTACAATTGTATTTACGTTATATTTATTATTATTTTTAAATTATTGTTTTACATTTACATCCAAATTAGTTAACATTTAGTCCGATAAGGATTTCAGGAGTCAAATTTAGTGACTCATCACTTACATGTAACACCCAGTGCTCATCCCAGCAAGTGTGCTCCTTACTGCCCGGTGCCCGTTTAGCCCATCCCCCACTCCCCTCCGTCCAGCAGCCCTCAGTGTGTTCTCTGTATTCAAGAGTCTTCAATGGTTTGTCTCCCTCTCGGTTTTTAAACTATTCTTCCTTCCCTTCCCCTATGTTCATCTGTTTTGTTTCTTAAATTCCTCATATGAGGGAAGTCGTGTGATTTTCATCTTTCTCTGACTAATTTTGCTTAGCATTATACCGTCTAGTTCCATCCACATTGTTACAAACGGCAAGATTTCATTCTTTTTGATCGCCGAGTCCAATATGTATACTCCATTGTATACATACACATCTTCATTATCCATTCATCTGTTGATGGATGTTTGGGCTCTTTCCATACTTTGGCTGTTGTTGAGAGGGCTGCTATAAACATCGGGGTGCATGTGCCCTTTGGTTCAGCACTCCTGTGTCCTTCGCATAAACACCTAGTAGTGCAATTGCTGGGTCGTAGGGGAGTTCTATTTTTAATTTTCTGAGGAACCTCCGTACTGTTTTCCAGAGTGGCTGCAGCAGTTTGCATTCCCACCAGCCGTGCACGAGGGTTCCCCTTTCTCCGCATCCTCACCAACATCTGTTGTTGCCTGAGTTGTTAATGTCGACTAATCTGACAGGTGTGAGGTGGCATCTCATTGTGGTTTTGATTTGTATTTCCCTGATGATGAGTGAGGTTGAGCATTTTTTCATGTATCTGTTAGCCCTCCGTATGTTTTCTTTGGGGAAGCGTCTATTCATGTCTTTTGCCCATTTCTTCACTGGATTATTTGTTTTTTGGGTGTTGACTTTGGTAAATTCTTTATATATTTTGGATACTAATCCTTTATCTGATATGTCATTTGCAAATATCTTCTCGCATTCCACCCGTTGCCTTTTAGTTTTGCTGATTGTTTCTTTCGCTGTGCAGAAGCTTTTTATTTTCATGAAGGTTTTTATTTTAATTTAATTTAATTTAATTTTATTTTATTCTTAGTTCATTTTTGCTTTTGTTTCCCTTGCCTCTGGATATGTGTTGAGTAAGGAGCTGCTGCGGCCGAGGTCAAAGCAGTTCTTGCCTGTTTTCTCCTCTAGGATTTTGATGGCTTCCTGTCTTACATTTAGGTCTTTCATCAATTTAAGTTTATTTTTGTGTATGGTGTAAGACAGTGGTCCAGGCTCATTCTTCTGCATGTCGCTGCCCAGGTTCCCCAGCACCATTTGCCTAAGAGACTTGTCTCTTTTCCACTGGATATTCTTTCCTGCTTTGTCAAAGATTAGCTGGCCACATGCTTGTGGGTCCGTTTCTGGGTTCTCTATTCTGTTCCATTGATCTGAGTGCCTGTTTTTGTGCCAGTGACATACTGTCTTGATGATTACAGCTCTGTAATACAGCTTGAAGTCCCGGGGTGTGATGCCTCCAGATTTGGTTTCCTTTTTCAGGATTGTTTTGGCTATTTGGGATATTTTGTGGTTCCATAAAAATTTTAGGATCATTTGTTCTAGCTCAGTGACGAATGCTGTGTTATTTTGATATGGATTGCACTGAATATGTAGATTGCTTTGGGTAGTAGCGACATTTTAACAATGTCTATTCTTCCAATCCATGAGGATGGAATTTTTTTCCATTTTTTGTGTCTTCTTCAATTTCGTTCATAAGCTTTCTGTAGTTTTCAGGGTATAGATTTTTTACCTCTTTCGTTAGTTAGGTTTATTCCTATTTTTTAATGTTTATTTGTTTTTTAGGAGAGAAAAGAGAGAGAGTGTGGGGGAGGGACAGAGACAAAGGGAGACACAATCTGAAGCAGACTCCAGGCTGTGAGCTGTCAGCAAAGAGCCTGACATGGGGCTTGAACTCACAAACTGTGACATCATGACCTAAGCCGAACTGGGACACTTAACTGACTGAGCCCTCCAAGTGCCCCCAACATTTTATTATATTGGCATCATTGACCCTCTGCTCCAGACCCCACCTCCAATAACACGAAGTAGGACCTTCTGATTCTCTGTCCACCAGAGACTGAATTCTAGGACATCAAATATCAAAGGGACATAAGATGCAAGAATTCAGTTTACATTAGCCAACTTGACAATAAATTATACAAATAAATAAATCTCTAATTTTGCAAAAATGTGTATAACCTTAGAGAAATTTAATATTAAAAAAATAAAACAATATACTCTGCAGTTAAAGACAGATGTTCATATCTGGAATAAAGTGATTTTCTTCCTCCGGCTAAATTATATCATACTCAAAAGTGATACTTAAAATGAGGGAAAACCCCTAAAACACATGGTATGGCATGAGTAGTGATTGATCAGAAGACGTGCCTGGCCAATCTGTCTGGACACTGATGGGTATGTCACATGAGTGGATTACTTGCTCCCCGGTATTTTCTGGGTCCCTCGCAGTCAGACAGAGCCACATGACACAGCTCCCAAAATGTGAGTGAAGTGTTGTCGGTTACTTCCTGGGACGGGGCAATCAAGGTTTCATGCACAATTATGACCTTTCTCATCAGCTGCCCTGGTGACTGAGGAGGCCGCCATATTCTGGATGGAACTGCCACGAGATGGGAGAGCCCGTCACCTTGGGTACCCCAGTCACCGTAGGGAGACGAGCTTCCTCCTGACCCCCGAAGACCAGTAAACAAGAGTAACAAAAATTCTCTCCTCGTCTTCAGGCAACGAGGCTGTTGGAGCCATTCATTCCTGCGATGCCGCCTAATCCACCCTAACACACAACCCTTCCCAGCTCCAGCTTCCAAAAATAAAAATATTCATGAACACTCTGAACTCTGCCCCAAGCCAAAAGACTGCTCAGGTATGAAAAGCCAACCTTTCCCCCACGGGCCAGGGGGCTGGCCCTCCATCTCCTGGGTTCTGCTGTTGCGAGTTTGGGCAGACGCAGCCCAGCTCTGTGCGGAGACCAAACATGCTCTGTCCCGATGTGATTTCTTAACTGTGGTTATTTTCCTAAGTCTTTTTCGATGCATTCCTCCACAAAGATCAATAACCCAATGAACAGACTAACGACTCCTCACCCTGTCCTTGTGTTTTGATGGTTTGGTCAAGCTCTGTTATTCCAGCCCCCACCACCTATGCCCCCGTAAATAACAGACACTTAGTAGATGACAGGCTGCAGTTTCTCATTCCTACCACATGAAACAGAGGAGCTCATATGTGATCATCGAAATACTATATCTCATTAGCAGCAATGCTGCATCATGATGTTACTTGTGTGCTTCTTTTAGTTTATACTTATATTTATTATTTTATTGTATTTTTATTTTTTTTGATGTTTTATTTATTTCTGAGAGAGAGAGAGAGAGAGAGAAAGAGAGAAAGAGAGAGAGAGAGAGAGAGAGAGAGACAGCATGAGCAGGGAAGGGTCAGAGAGAGAGGGAGACACAGAATCCAAAACAGGCTCCAGGCTCTGAGCTGTCAGCACAGAGCCCGACGCGGGGCCTGAACCCACGAACAGCAAGATCATGACCTGAGACATAGTCGGATGTTTAACTGACTGAGCAACCCAGGCGCCCCTATATTTATTTTTTAAATAAGAAATGCTGGGTGCTCAGTCGGTTGAGTGTCCGACTTTGGCTCAGGTCACAATCTCACGGTTCATGGGTTTGAGCCCCAAGTCGGGCTCTGTGCTGATGGCTCGGAGACTGGAGGTTGCTTTGGATTCTGCATCTCCCTCTTTCTCTCTGCACCTCCCCTGCTTATGCTCTGTCTCTCAAAAATGAATAAATGGTAAAAAGAATTTTGAAAAATAAAATATGGGATGCTTCACAAATTTGTGTGTCATCCTTGCAAGAGGGCCATGCTGATTTTCTCTGTGTCGTTCCAATTTTAGTAGATGTGCTGCCAAAAGCACCTGTGTGCTTCTTTTAACAAGAGGGGAGCATCCGTCAATTTGGCCTGCACTGAGAACAGATTTATAAACCCCTCTGTTTTTAAAAGGACATCGGCGCCTCAGTTTAATGGCTGCGGCACAGTATGGAGAATTGCTGCATTTTAGCAGCCGTAGCAGGTAAAATACAATTATCGTCCCACCCACGGGGAAGCGGGGAGGGTGCCGCACGGCAGAGCCCACATGAGGCTGAGAGTGCATGCCTTCTGCCGGCCGGGCTGCCTTCCGGAAGCCACTGAAACAAGTCAGGTGCGTGGTGCTTCTTCTCTATGTGAATTAAAACGTTTTATCCAGGTGATACCACCTCACGGTTAAAATACCCCATTTGTGGAAGGGTTTATCACAAAATGCCACGAAAGGCATCCTTATCCCCATTCTCTACCACCATTTTGTTCCCTTCAGGCAACCGCTTTGGACCCCTCTGTTACGAAGGCTTTTCCATCCGTCTGAACAACAGGCTGCATTACGCTTTCCTGGTACTGCAGGCTCAGCCATCACCTGCCGATTCTCTGGCACGCCCGGAGAAGTCTCATCTCTCTCTGTTTTCTCAACAACATAATTAGATTCCTGTTTTCGCTTCTCCATTGGCTTTATTTCTAATTTTAAGGAAACATACCTCTAATCAAGAGATAACTTGCTGCAGGGCGGCTGGGGGCTCAGTCAGTTAAGTGTCCGACTTTGGCTCAGGTCACGTAGGTTTGAGCCCCGCGTCGCGCTCTGTGCTGACAGCTCGGAGCCTGGAGCTGCTTCGGATCCTGTATCTCCCTCTCTCTCTGCCCCTCCCCCGCTCACGCTCTGTCTCTCAAAAATGAGTAAACATTAAAAAAAAAAAAGAGATGCTGTGTGGATTCCTGAGGGGCTGTGTCTGCAGAGGTGGTGACACCCCTCGGGGGTGGTGGTGGACACAGGGAGCCCTGGCCCTCGGTACGGGCTGTGGGCTCCGTGGCTCACACGTGTGGTTGGCGTGCTGTACAGGTGAGGTTGTGTAACTTGTGCGCCTTGGCCACGGAGCCACTGTTTTTTCCCTGCTGATGCTCGTTCGTTTGTGGAGCTCAGCCTCCAAGGTGTGTGGGCCCAGGCGCACGGAAGGGGCAGGCGCAGGTGATCTGGTCCACGGCCACGATCCGGCGCCCGCCCCACGGACGTGTCCCTGAGGAAGCCTTCCGGGGGACTCTGCCCCAGCAGAGGCTGCCTCACCAGGTCCCGTCAACCTCCAGGACCCTGACGAGAGGATGCGTGGCCGCTGTAGCAGGACCACCACTGTCCCCTGGTGCGGCCACGGACACTGGAGACCCCACGCACCGTAGGAAACGACAGTATGAGCCTGGCTCCAACTGCCCTCCATTCTCCTGCCGCCACGGCTTCCCAGGCTTTCTCGTTTCCAGCTGGTACTTCTTTCCTCCCCAAGGCTGACCACACCTCCACCTCCAAACATCCAGTCCTCCTTGCTCGTACGGAGTCTGAATCCAGAAGCTGAAAGCTGGAAACGGGCCTCTGATACTCACACGCCGTGGAGCCCTTTCTCAGCCTCCAGGCTACTGCTCTGGGCAGACAACTCCCTGCTTTCAGGCTACTGGGCGCGCTGTGTATGTTTAGCAGGGGCCCCGGACTCAACCCTCTAGATGCCAGTAACGGCCTCTTTCCAGTGTGACAACGAGAGATGTCTGCCGGCTTCGCCAAACATCCCCGGGAGATGGCGGGGGGGGGGGGGGGGGGGGGGGGGGGGGGGGCAGTAAGGAAGGTCGAGAATGCGCTGCAGGAGCGAACTGCACCCGGGGACTCCATCCTGTTTCCTCCTGTGATTTCTGGGTCCTCTTTGCCTTTGCCAGATCCAGGGCTTGTGTTAATAAATATAACGCACCAAAGGACGAGGGAGGTTTACAAAATGCAGAAGCTGGAGGGAAATCCTCGATTTTCTTTCTGTCAGTGGCAATAACAGGATCTGATGTGTACAGGGCTTTGTGTGACTGGAGCCGGCAGGCTGGATGTGGTGCGTGTACTCTTGAAATCCAAGTATCAATCGATGTTTAAAAAATCATGTATATATATATATATATATATATATATATATATATATACTTTTCTTTTACCAGCGGAGTTTCCTATTAAAAGTGATCTGTACACATGTCCATGTTATTGGCTGGAAGCAAGGACTGAATATGTGAGAGGCACGCAGAACGTCGACTGGCAGGTGGTAAGAAAAGCGTGCGCTGGCGTCGTTATGAGGGTCACAGCACCTGGCCTCAGGATTCCTTCCGGCCATGCCTACAGCCTGAGGGCAGGAGCCGGAAGGGGAGCCCAGAGTGAACAGTGTGAGCCCTAGCTTGGCACGGCCAGACGACCCTCTCGGGCCAACTTCCTCGTCTTTAAAGAAGATCTAAATGGCATCTGGTAGAAGTCTGCTCATGCGTCCAGGCAAGGCTTTGGGCTCAAACTGCCTGGATGCAATGCCCAGCTTCGCTACATCCTGGGCGCTTGACTTGGCGGCATACTTGCACATACTTAAGCGCTGTGCACCTCGTGTTTCTCATCTGGAAAGTGGGTTCTGAGTAGCATCTACCTTGGAGAGTTCTCGTGAGGGATGGGTACACTACCACGTGCCAAGTGTTCAAACAGTGCTTGGCATTACCACCTTTTCAATAAGGTTGGCTATTAGTAGTAGTATCATAAGACATACGGGGGCTTTTATTAATTCAGGATGTCCTTGGCAGAAGGAAAAAGAGAGAGAGAGATTGAGAGAGGGAGGAAAGCAGGGAGGGAGTGAAGGGGAGAGGAGGCAGGGAGATATAACCCACTGCACGTCCTCTCATGAACAGAGGCACTGTCCTGGAGTGAGACCATGGGGGCAGGCGGGCGTCTTACAGCACTGACAGGAACTTAAGAATTAAAGGTGGATTTTTCACACACAGGTGCCCCAAGCACAAGCCAGCCACTCACTTGGAGCCTGACCAAGGAGCATTTATCTGTTTCAACACTGAAGGAAAAATGGAGATTTTGAGGCTTAGGGATTATGTTTTTTGACTGGTTTGAGTTTTCAAGGGCGATGTTGACTGACTGAGTGTTATTCTCACTTGCCGAGTTTGCTTCGGAACCTGCTACACTCCTCAGTGAGCCGGAGCTCCGCTGTCACGGGCAGCGACTTCTAGTTCAGTGCCGAGCACGCAGGCTTACAGTAGGGATGGCTGAATGACACGCAGAATCATGAGTTCTGGGCTGCACTCGTTCTTCATGCAAATCTGCATCAGGTTTATTTCTGGAGGCGCCTCTGGGCAGGACCACGGGGCAACGAAGCTTGGACCTTGGGCGTTTCTGCTGGTTTCCAGCTTTCTTATGGGAGTTTCCAGAGCCACCAGGTAAGGACACATGGGCATCTCGGGGGGCAGGGCAGCTCTCATGCAGCCTGCTCTCGTCTCCACTGCCGCCACAGCGTGGCCAAGACACATCCTGGGCCGTGGCCCTGAAACCGCAGTCTGCACCACAACCAGGTGAGCCAGGGTCTGACACTCGATCAGAGGGAGACCATTTTAGCTCCCTTTAAGTGCCTGCCTTGCACACAAGCTCAGGTTTTGGACATTTCCTGATTTTTTTGAGAGAGGCTGAGAATCGACATTTTTATGTCAAATCTCCTGATTTTCACATTGGGCTCACCTTTTGTAAAAACCACCAAGAAGCCGGGACAAAACACATTACCGGGGCGTGTTGACCCACGTATGGGCTCCAACTGGTAAGTTCTACCCTGTAGATGATGCAGCGCCTCTAACCGTCAGATCCCTCGTGGGTAAAAAGGGTGAGATTTTTAAACTCTTGCCTGCCTAGCTGCCCGCACCCACCTGCAAGGCCAGTGTTTTCCCAGAACCCCGCTTCACTTCCCTGGGTCACCCCGCGACCCCTGCCGTCTGGGAACGCAGCCCCCTTTATCCGGTGCCACCTGAAGAAGTCTGGTCTCACGAAAGTGCTGCTCAGTTTTGCATCACTAATTTCAAATCGTATTTAGCATCAACTTTCAGAATTAAGGAGCTAAGTGACAGCTGTTTAATTAGCTCCTTAAGCTGATTAGACGGCATTACACAAATCCCCTCAGGAGGAGGACGTCACCGTGGGGAGACCCTCGGGCCAGGTTCCCGCCACTGTTCAAACTCAGTAAGCTGCTAAGCCCATTGGCCAAGCATTCTTGACCCCCTCAAGGATGTGGTCAAATAGAGATTTCTATTTACGACGTCCACTGCCGCAAGAGACCCTAAGTGACAAAAATGACACGAGCCTCTTTTCAGGATGCTAGGCAAACAGACTCTGCATTTAAAAAAAAAAAAAAAAGAAAAGGAAAAAAGGAATCAATTGGGAGTCTCTCAGAAAGCACTTTAGGACGACTGTAAATCCCTGTGTTCTGTCATCGTATTCAGGAGAGGGGCTCGGATTAACCCTTCGTTCCCACAGAATGGGCTGTCTGGCCTCCGCCTGATTGACAAGAAAGGCAAAGGCATATTAACGAGTTTAAGACTTTAAGCCAATTTTATCCCTAAGATTAGTGCTCTCAAAGTGGAACTTCCGAGGAAGACAGGAAACCACGTATACACCTGACTTTAACTGTGAGCCCGGGAGCGGCCAGACAGCCCAGAAATCCCTGGTGCTGGAGAAAGTGGACGAAATGATGGTTTTCGTATAGTTCCTTCTAATCCCTGGCAACACTGGCAACAGGACATGCGGACAGAATGTCCAAGACCCTCTCGGCAGCAGGGAAGGCTAAGTGAACATGCAAACAAACTACCACTGGCCTAAGATTTCTGGAAACAGGACATAAGTTTAACTTTTGAATTGCGGTTCGGGGGGGGGGTGCTTCCAGTGGGCCGGGGTGGGAGGGGGTGTGACATCCACCCAGACTTTGTGGGATTGGTTTTGTGTGCTGAAAACTTCAGCTTCTTGCTCGAGGGAGGTGGAGCGGGTTTTGGGTGCTGTTTGTGTTGTAT